ATATAAGAGATTCACTTTTCCCTTCAACAGAACTTCAACTTACAAACTAACTCCCAATCTCTTCTTCCATAAAAGACAGAGAGGAATTTAGACCATATCACTAAATGCAAAAATATTTAAGAGAAAAACATCAATAACCCAGACAGAATTGCTGTTGGGTAACTATTTCCCCTCAAATTCTGCAAAGTTTCTTGCTCTTTTCCATATTAATTCCTCTATGAGTGGATTAAAAGAACCATTTACTTTAGCTAGTTGCATCTAGATATAAAAACTACACAAAGCATAGGATATTCCTATTTCAAATTCATTCAACCTAAGCCAATAAAAGAAATACTTTAACTAAAAAGTTTATAAAAATATTAGAGCCCTAAACAAATATGCCTCCTTGTTTCTATTTCAATCAGTTCATGTCCAGGAATTAAATAGATCCTGATTCATTAGTGATTTTTACTAGACAAAAGGAGATGAAGTCTGCTCATCTGTCTCTAATTAAAAAGCAGCACCCCTGCACCCCACAAAAGGACCATCTGCATTTGGGGCTCCCTCCTCAAAGATGTGCACCCCTAGCTCTCAGCACACAGGTCAGGTTTCCTCCCATGCCCATCTTAGTGGCTCAGAGCTCCAGTCTTACCTGCATTACTTTAGTATCCTTCAGCCACCACTCCACTTCCATTCTAATGTTTTTGAGTATTTTGAGTCACAATCTCCAGTTCCACTAAACTATCAGTTAAGACTGTTCAAGTTCTCTCTCAAGGTTATCAGTTATTGTTTTTATTAATATTCTGCTTACAAAACTGCATATATTTTCAGTGATTTACCCCAATCCCGTATTAACCATGAGCTCTATTAATTTAAGTGTTCAGTTTTGCAGCATGCAGAGGTTTTCAGGAATACGTGTATCATGTTACAATAGAAACACCTATATTGTTATCCTGATATACTTATAATCCTGTCACAACCACAAAGTTATATAAATAGGTGTACAGTAATAAAGCAGCTAGTAACATCTAAGCCTTACCTGGTCTCTGGCTCACTGGTGGACTCCCATTAATTCCTGAGAGTATAATAGGAACAGAGCCCAGAGATGAAGTTGGTGTGGTCACCATGGAGGAAGATGCAGCTGTAGTCACCACGACTAAGGAGGTGGAGGCAGTGGAAGCAACAGGAAGAGTTATGGTTGGAGGAGATGCTACCAAAGACTTAGGAAAAGCAACCGAAGCCACAGGGGTAGTTATCCCAGTGGTTTTGGTAAGGTTCACAGTGGCTGTAGACTGGGTAGATGTTACAGGGGTGCTGGTATTAGTTTCAGAGACCTCAACAACCCCTGTAGTGGTGGCACCAGAAGAATAAGTAGTTTCTTTAGTTTCCACGTCAGAAATAGCAGTCATAGGTGTCACAGCAGTAACATTTTCTAAAAACACTTGAGGGGTGGTAGTAGTGACAGCAGCAGTCACAGGGCTGCACACCTGAACTGGCTCAGAAGAAACCACAGGTGTGACGACCATTACTGGAGAAGGTCTGATACTGAACTTCTGTGTCCCTGCCAGGGTTTGGGGTGTGCTAACTCCAGGTATCTTCTGCTGCAAGGCTCCAACTTTACTCATCACAAACTGTGTGAACACACCACCAGGAGAGGGTCGAGCCGCTGCAAATAGAAATTTGCAGGTCAAAAATCTTCAGTTCTCATATTTTATCCTCTCAGTGACTGTGCTTACCGACATTTATTGTGCACCACTGGGTCAATTTCTTACAGGTACTACCTACCTGTATTATTTGTGCCAATTTCTTTTTTTTCTTTTTTAAGATGGAGTTTCTTTCTGGTTGCCCAGGCTGAGTACAACGGCATGATCTCGGCTCACTGCAACCTCTGTCTCCGGGTTCAAGCAATTCTCCTGCCTCAGCCTTCCTGAGTAGCTGGGATTACAGGCATGCGCCACCACACCTGGCTAATTTTTGTATTTTTAGTAGAGATAGCGTTTCTCCATGCTGGTCAGGCTGGTCTTGAACTCCCGACCTCAGGTGATCCGCCTGCCTCGGGCCTCCCAAAGTGCTGGGATTACAGGCGTGAGCCACCACACCCAGCATCTGAGCTAATTTCTGCTCTCAGAAATCAAACGTTTGCCTTGACCAAAAACAAATCTCAGTTCTAATGGAGTGTTCCAGGCCGGACACAGTGACTCACACGTGTAATCCCAGCACTTCAGGAGGCCGAGGCGGGCAGATCATGAGGTCAGGAGTTCGAAACCAGCCTGGCCAACATGGTGAAACCCCAACTCTACTAAAAATACAAAAATTACCTGGGCATAGTGGCGCATGCCTGTAATCCCAGCTACTCAGAAGGCTGAGGCAGGAGAATGGTTTGAACCCAGGAGGTGGATGTTGCAGTGAAATGAGATAGTGCCACTGCACTCTAGCCTGGGAGACAGAGCAAGACTCTGTCTTGAAAGAAAAATTAAAAAATTAAATAGAGTGTTCCTACTAAAATTCTTTTGACTATGCAATATATTCAACCTGTCAGGATACTAAAAAGACAATACAGTAGCAAAAACTTCATCACCTAAAACAGATAAAAGAGAATGAGAGGGTTTGTTTCCCCCGATTTCTAATGTAAAAACTTATTTCTACCATTTCCTCCTGTCTGAGCACTCTCACCTCTTTACAGTTGTGCTATTATGCGATGCTTATGTATTACATATTCCTAAAATATATAAAGACGTTTCTCAAAAGAGATCAGGATAGGATTGCTTTTTTTTCCCCCTTAATCACACCTGAAGCTGCTTTAATAAAAGGTAAAATCGGTTCTTTTTTTTTTTTTTGAGATGGAGTCTCACTCTGTCGCCAGGTTGGAGTGCAGTGGCACGATTTTGGATCACTATAACCTCTGCCTCCCAGGTTAAAGTGATTCTCCTGCCCCAGTCTCTCGAGTAGCTGGGACTACAGGCGTGTGCCACCACTCCCGGCTAATTTTTGTATTTTTAGTAGAGATGGGGTTTCACCATGTTGGCCAGGATGGTCTCGATCTCTTGACCTCGTGATCCGCCCGCCTCGGCCTCCCAAAATTGCTGGGACTACAGGCGTGAGCCACCGCACCCGGCCAAAATAGGTTCTTTTAAGGCAAACAATAAATATCTTCTATCTTCACACAACTCTAGCCATTCAGCCAGAGATTTCAACTGACATTCTTACTTAACATTCCTAATAGATTTGAAACAACAAAAAGAGAAATTCCATAAACCAACTACAGATACTCTCAATGCTAAAACACCAATACTTCAATAAGGTAATTTATTATAGACTTCAGCATTTAAATGTTAAGGAAAAGAGAGATTTTCATTCATAGAACCGAGATGAATGGAATAAATCAACATTTCCAAAACTGTATTTATAGGAGCTTTCCACTTTAAGCCTATACTACTTACCCCACTAGCTTTTGCTAGCTCCTTGGTTTCGTAAGTTTAAGAAATACCAACAGAAGCATTTACACAGCACCAGGAAGAGTTCAGCAAGATGCCAAAAACACCAGTACTCATAGGAAAATAGTTAACTACTTTTAATTTAGTAAAATATTTTAGTAAATAATTTAGTAAAATGGTAAAGTATTTTTAAATACCTTCCCTTTTTAGAAACAAAATTAAAATCCTGTCTTTTCTACATTAATAAAAACCAGTAAAAACCTTAAAAATAACCGTAAAACTTGCCTTCAGGTCAGTATTATTAAAATATAAAATAAAAATTTAAAACAAAGAAAACTATAAAACAATTCAATTCATCTAATATTGCAGGTTATTAGAAGTTAACCCCAATCAATCAAAAAAGTCCGGGCAAGACAGACATCAAGAATAAGAATAATGCCAAATTACATATTTCTCTAACTTTTACAACCTCCATACCTGTTACCTACTGTCCCACCACAAAGTCATAGGCCTTTCCAAACTATACATACACCCTAACTTACCAATTGGCCGTTTTGCTGGGACAAACGCCTTCAGATTCTTCCCAGGGCGATTTGTTGCAGTGCCAGAGGAGGATGCCATTTTGGAATTGGATGTTGAAGGCAACAGGGTACGTGGTTTCCTGGATGCAGCCACCTTGGCATTGGATGCTACCTTGGAGATGACAGTACTGAGGGTTGAGAGGTCCAGGACTGAGGGTCGCAACCTGCCTGTGATATAAGCAGCTAGCCTATTGGCTGGATGCAATGCCCCCATCTGTCCCAATAGCAACTTAGCCTGCGGGTAACTCTTACCATTAACCTGAAACAAGTGGCAAAGAGAAATTCTGTAAAGATAAAATTCTCTTGCTAACTCCTCTCCCTTGACAGGGGCTTCATTTTTACAAGTTTTTATAAGTCTATTTTTCAGATTTAAAAGGGAAGAAGAAGTAGACTTTTTCCATTGAGAATAATCTGAGTAATCAGGAGATAGAAAAATGCTGTCATCTGATATTCTGAACTAATCTCATCGCCTTCATGTTGTAGTTTGAAAACAGAGAATCAGAAACTCATCATTTCTGCATCCTAGGTATGTGAAAGTTATCATCAAATCTAAACAACTAGAATTATCCAATTGTTTTCCTCATAAATAAGCCATTCTTGTTAAGCTATTAACCTCATCGGCAAAAATGAGTAACTGTGTCCCACAGAATCTCTCTGATAAGACCAGAGAGGCATAATGAAGCTCTCACACAAGGGTCCTTTCAAGCATCCTTCATATTTGAAAAATATAAGTGAAATCTACTTTAAGTTATAGAACAAATCATTGTTGCAATAATCTAAGCCACAATTACCTCACAGTTGTTAATTTTCAAAAAGCTTAGTTTTGAAAATACTATTTTCATCTGTTGGATAAAACATGGGTTCAAAATGAATGTTGGTAGAAACTCATTCTAATCCTAGATATAATTAACTAAACGGTCAGAAGAAAGTGAACTAACAAATGAAGTAAAGATTCCCTCTGCTGCCTGAGTTGATTGGACTGCCCATCACGGGTACCAGCACAGTTGTTTTTTGTGGGGGTTGATTTCTTCTTTTTTTTTTTTTTTTAAAGAAAGAAAACAGGAACTTCCCAAGTCTCTACCCATGTTCTCTAGGTCATATTGCCAGGCAACTCTAGAGAAGATAACCTTTTCTACATCGCCTTTTCACCATTTAAAAGCTGGGGGTTGGGGGAGACGGAGTGAGGTAGAATCTACTCTCTAACAGGGAATTGGTGAGGAGACTAGCTACAGCAAGCAACTCCATCTTCAGAGACACAAAATTACTCTTTGCTACTTTGGTAAAATTATGATTATTCCCACAGAGATCAAGAATATCTCTGCCTTGAGTTTGGTACAAAGAATGTGATCATTCCCCCTGAAAGTAAACTTTACTGTAACTTTTTAGGCTATATGGAAACAGGTCAGATACCCTCCCGGCTCCCTTGGGACTGTGCTGAAGCCTACTCTGTAGCTTCCCCAAAGTTTATCTTACAGTTGCCTGACTGCCTATATAGACACATTCTATGGTGGCTTTGTGAGTCCTGGGTAGAAGAGAACAAAAAATTTCCATGCTTGTATTTTAGGGAGCCTGGTCTCACTAGAAATTATATCAGCCAAACCTTTGTTTTCAAAGTGTCAATCAATAAATAAGGTAGAGAAAATACTGTTCTCCTCATCAAGAGTGTAAGAAATATCAACAGAAGTATTTACATAGCATGCACAATAGTAAACTGCAATAAAAAGTTTTTAAATTAAGTAGATCAATCTTACAATTTTTTCTTTTTTGAGATGGAGTCTCGCTCTGTTGCCCAAGCTGGAGTGCAGAGGCACAATCTCAGTTCATGGCAACCTCCGCTACCCAGATTCAAGCGATTCTCCTGCCTCAGCCTGTTGAGTAGCTGGGATTACAGGCGTGCACCACCATGCCTGGCTGATTTTTCTATTTTTAGTAGAGATGGGGTTTCACCATGTTGGTCAGGCTGGTCTTGAACTCCTGACCTCACGATCCACCTGCATTCACCTCCCAAAGTGCTGGGATTACAGGCGTGAGCCAGCACACCCAGCCTAGATCAATCATATTATTAATGGAGAAGTCCTTAGTGACTTAGAAGCAGCCAATCTAATGAAAGTCAAGTCGCAATAATATCAGGCACTTCCACACATTTGCTACTTTAATATGTTTTTTTTGTTTGTTTGTTTTGTGTTTTTTTTTTTTTTTGGAGACAGTCTCCCTCTGTTGCCCAGGCTGCAGTACAGTGGCACAATCTCAGCTCACTGCAATCTCCACCTCCCAGGTTCAAATGATTCTCCTGCCTCAGCCTCCCGAGAAGCTGGGATTACAGGCCCGCGCCACCATGCTGAGCTTTTTTATTTTTAGTAGAAATGGGGTTTCGCCATGTCAGCCAGGCTAGTCTCAAACTTCTGACCTCAGGTGATCTACCACCTCGGCCTCCCAAAGTGCTGGGATTACAGGTGTGAGCAACCGTGCTCAGCTAGAAAAACCTTTTTGACTATGACATTAATTCAGAACATCTCGTTTCAAATTTTCTATATGCCAGTATAATTTTACTAATATAACCTGCGTGAATTACTAAATATCAAGGATAGAGATATTTGTCCTACAACGATTACACTGACAAAACCCCTATGAATCAAATAAAGAAAATATATAATTAAGTAAATATGGCTCAATTTTTACTCTTGTACTTAAATAACACCTTACTAAATTAAAATTTTCAGCTGGGCATGGTGGCTCACACCTGTAATCCTAGCACTTTGGGAGGTCAAGGTGGGTGGATCACCAGAGCTCAGAAGTTCGAGATCAGCTTGCACAACATGGCGAAACCCTGTCTCTACTTAAAAAAAAAAACCAAGAAACAAAAAAAAAAAAACCACGCACACACACACAAAATTAGCCAGGTGTGGTGTCACATGCCTGTAATCCCAGCTACTTGGGAGGCTGAGGCACAAAGAATCGCTTGAACCCAGGAGGCAGAGGTTGCTGTGAGCCAAGATTGCGCTAAATAAATAATAAATAAAATTTTAAAAATGAAAAATTTCCCCAAGTTTCTAAACATACATTGCCTATCTTTAAGTCAATTTCATCTTCCACTTACACCTAACCATTCTAACCATGGTTTTGTTTTGAAACCTATCTACTAATAATAAATTCCAAGAGCTAGACTGAATCCCTGATTATCCTTGCTTTATTGTCAAAGTATCACTAGAGCCCGCAGGCAATAAAGTTTATGAAGAGTAACTTTCTGGGAAGATTAGAAAGAAAATTATAAACTAATACAAGGCTCTACATTTCTGTTCATAAATGTGACAAAAATTCACTCTAGGTATGCATCTAAACTAGGCCTATTACAAAAAGAGATAATAATTTTGTCACCCAGTTCCCAGGAAATGTAAAGATAAAGGATATCAGGACCATAAAGGGCTCTGAAAAATCATGATGCTACCTAGGTATAAAAAGGTGCTATACCCAGATTAAAGATAATTCTCACCTGGATAAGCCCAGATGTACTTGAACTGGGTTTACGTTTATAGGCCACAAGCTTCCCTGCAGGAGAAAGCCCTGCATAAAAAGGCAGACCTTTGCCTCCATGTAATCTCTCCCTCACTGAATCCAGGGCATCTGTCTGCACAGGAGAGATATCCTCCATTTTCCCAGGGGACAATGGACCATCAGGAGTCTCTGATCCAGATTTCTCAGCCATATCATCTTGGTCTTGACATGATGGCATAGAGATTTTCACACGAGAAGAATAAACAGGAGGGTTCTTCTCACCCCGGCTCTTTCGCTGAGAAGCCAACTCAATGATGAAGCTGCCCACCTTAAGTGATTGTGGCATGTTGCTATTGATGTGCTGGGATAAGATGCTCAAAATCTTGTTCCGATCCTCCTCCCAGTTGCAGTCTGAGATGATCTCAATCAGTTTGGTGGGACCACCAGGTGACCTCTGATGCATATAAGAAGTAGAAGAGGATTCCCCTTCATTGCAGGGAGACTTCCAGCTCTTTTCTGATGGAAAATAATAATAATAAATAAAAAGTTGAAAGATTTCTGCATCCCAGCATTTTGTATGGAACTCTGAAAAAAACTGCCACATTCTCATGTTCTTTCACAGTAGTAATTTAACATGTATTAACTTTCACAATTTGGGAGTTTTCCAGGAAGAAAAAGTTCCAGAGAAAAAGACTATAATAGTCCTCATTATCCTGGTGACTGGGCTCTAACAGGGAGCTCCCTTAACACTGCTCTAAATGCCACAATTATTACAGTAGAGTTAGCTTGCAAAGAAACCATGACCTATAACCAAGGTTAAGCTTCACTGGTATAGGTTACTATTTTGCTATCCATATAGGCAAAGTGAAGCTACTTACAAGATGCTTTGAAACATGTAAAGATTAGAGTCAATCCTAAAGAACAGCAGGAAAAATAGTATTCTGATTTTTCTTTTTTTTTTTTGGGAGACGAAGTCTAGCTCTGTCATCAGGTTGGAGTACAGTGGCGTGATCTCGGCTCACTGCAACCTCTGCCTCCCAGGTTCAAGTGATTCTCCTGCCTCAGTCTCCCAAGTAGCTGGGACTACAGGAGTGCGCCACCACGCCCAGCTAGTTTTTTATTTTTAGTAGATACGGGGTTTCACCATGTTGGCCAGGATGGTCTTGGATCTCTTGACCTCGTGATCTGCCAGCCTCAGCCTCCCAAAGTGCTGGGATTACAGCGTGAGCCACTGCACCCAGCTGTAGTATTCCGATTTTAAGTGCACTCTACCTCTAATTTCTACTGCAAATACTTCTGAATTAATTCTGTGCTTCTAGATACGATTGCTCCATTTCTACATTGTATGCAGACCACTCAACTCCCCAAAGTATTCTATCCATGGCAACATGTTGACTAGATACGTATTTCACTAGACTCCTGGATTTCCTTAGTACAGCTTCCCAGTGAGTGTACTGGTATGTTAAGGGCCCCCACAATCCTCTCCGGGTGCTCACACTTTCAGGCAGGTTCCCTCCACCCTAGCAGCCTCCTCCACTTACCTCAATGTGCTATAGAAACATTATAATTATTTGTATGTACCATGACATTTTTTAAGAAGTTAGGAAGCCCTGCTGCTTAAGTGTCAGAAGTCTCAGGAAGCATAACCAAAAACAAATTGTTAACTCCCTGTCCACTACCTCTCATCAAAGTAATTCTGATAGTAGCCTCGACTAGTAAATCACAGTAATATTCCCTTCCTTTCTCCTTCTAGATTTCCCCAGAGGTGGCAGTGATGGAGGACCAATAGCTAATGATGCCAATATTGCTGAGGTTTGGAAAGAAGTTAAAAAAAAAATTCACTGACCTCATCCTAAATGTCTCTTGCAACAACATGCTATATCAACATGAACGAATTTTCTTTTATTTTTGAGAGCAGGAGTGTTAACAGACCAAATAATGGGAAAAAAACCTTTTACTTATTGTCCTTGTTTTTGGCATAAGTTTCAAACAGGGTAAGCAGACATATTCTGAATTGATGGTTTGGGTTTTCTCCCATTATTAATATAATCTAGATCTGAATAATTTCTACCAAATGTTAAGATCTAGTGTTCATTCTGACCTTGTAATTTATCAGAATCATCCTCCAAGTCACAGGTGAGTTGTTTTAAGGGCTGCTGTTCACAGTCAGGTTCCTGAAGGAGACAGTAACACAGAAATACTTTAACTTAACATATATTCAATACCCACAGAAACTTGGACAAAAGCATTAAATCTCTCATGGAAGTTTAAATCATTAGAATGATTAAAATGTCAACAGCTTCAATCCACATCCACAGCTACACTACTATCATATAAAACCCTGGGCAAAAACACGTAGCTTTGTTCCCTAATGTCCCTGATAGTAACTGAGTCATCAAGAAAATAATTCACATTGTACTTTATAGTACAGAGGGAAACATATTTATTTGCTGTTAAACAAAACAAACTGCAGCTATTCAGAAAATTCACCAATTGAGGCCAGTCTCGGTGGCTCATGCCTGTAATCCCAGCATTCTGAGAGGCCAAGGTGGGCAGATCACTTGAGCCTAGGAGTTCAAAACCAGCCTGGCCAACATGGCAAAACTCCATCTATACAAAAAATACAAAAGCTTAGCCACAAATGGTGGCACACACCTATAGTCCCAGTTAGTTGGGAGGCTGAGACGGAAGGATCGCTTGAGCCAGGGAGGTGAAGGTTGCAGTGAGCCGAGACTGCGCCACTGCACTTCAGCCTGGGTGACACAGTGAGGCCCTATCTCAAAAAAAAAAAAAGAAAGAAAGAAAATTTGCCAATGTGGAAGGATGCACACCCTAATAATTACAGATAAACAAATAAAACCAGAATTTTAAAAAATTACTCCAGGATCAGAAAGAATAATACTTTTTAATTTACCAAATCCTCTATTAACAGGCATTCTGCCTCCAATTTCTCATTAGTGAGGACAATAGTGCACTGAACAGTCATATATATGTGTATGTTTGAGTAAACACACATACACGCACATATCTTTGTGCCCTCATGCTATGTACACTTAAAATTTAGGGTCAAAAAGATATGTACATTTAAATTTTTTTGTTTTTGTCATTATTAACAAATTGCTGTTTAAAAGAAAACTGCTGATTTATACCTTTAGTGGTTTTCTGGGTAGTCACCACTGACGTTGAGGTGGCAGTACAAGTGAAGGTGGAGCCCCAGTCATCAGCTGAACCATGGAAAGGGAGAGGTATAGCCTAACTACAAGGGTAACTGGAATCAGAAGTTATTCTTTAAATTATCTGTGAATGTGTGCCTCAAGTTTCTCATACCAGCTTCCTCCATGGGTTGGAAAGATTGCCACCTAGACTCTTTTATCATTCCACTTTCACTAATCAGGAGAGACTGCCCTCTTTCCTTAGTTCCAATTTTTTTAAGTGAAAGCAAATTAAGAAAGTAGAGGAATAGGCTGGACATGGCGGCTCACGCCTGTAATCCTAGCACTTTGGGAGGCCAAGGTAGGCGGATCACCCGAGGTCAGGAGTTCAAGACCAGCTTGGTCAACATGGTAAAATTCTGTCTCTACTAAAATATAAAAATTAGCCGGGCATGGTGGCGTCCGCCTGTAATGCTAGCTACTCGGGAGGCTGAGACGGGAGAATCGCTTGAACCCCAGAGACAGTGGTTGCACTCTAGCCTGGGCAGCTGAGCGAGACTCCATCTTTAAAAAGAAAAAAAAAAGGAGAGGAATAAAAAAATGGTTACTCCATAGACAGAGCAGCCCTTAGTTCCAATTTTTAAAATCCTAGGAAAGGAGTCTGAATGGTTCATCTTGGATCAGACACCATCCTTTGACCCAGAACACTGTTACCAAGGAGGCAAGAGATGTAGGATAATGGCAGTTTCCATTTAATCTATGTAGTTAACGTATTAATAGCAGATTTTGTTCTGGGCAGATAATAATGAAAGCTAGTGTTTACAGGGTATTTAAAATGTACCAGGCACATGCTGACCTAAGCATTTTACATATATGTAAAATGTCTCCCTAGACAGGCCACAGAAGATAAACAGCAAATTTAAATGAAGGACTAAAATACCTCCCACCTCACAATGAGTAAGTATTCACTTGGTTATCTAAAAATTTATCAGCTCTTGCATTAGCAGAGGATATAACCATCTAGATAGCATTACGTGGCTCAAATAAATGACAGACTGAGTCTTTCGGGTGCCACAGGGTATAATAAGGATAACAGGCCAGGCACAGTGGTTCACGCCTGTAATCCCAGCACTTTGGGAGGCCAAGGTGGGCGGATCACGAGGTCAGGAGATAGAGACCATCCTGGCTAACACGGTGAAACCCTGTCTCTACTAAAAATACAAAAAATTAGCCGGGCGTGGGGGCGGGCGCCTGTAGTCACAGCTACTCAGGAGGCTGAGGCAGGAGAATGGTGTGAACCGGGAGGCGGAGCTTGCAGTGAGCTGAGGCTGGGCTACAGCACTCCAGCCTGGGGGACACAGCAAGACTCTGCCTCAAAAACAGGATAACAAAATGGATTTTGGGGGCTTTTTCTTTTTAAAAAAAAAAAAAAAAAAAAAACGACACCTTTGGTGTCAAGTATACTTAGTCTTAAATCCTGGCTCCACTGCTTGCTAGCAATATAACTTAGGCCTTTATTGCCTCATGTGTGCAATGGGGATAATACCACCAACCTCATATGGTTAAATAAGGTAGTACATGTAACTGCACAGCACACTGGCACACTACCTGACACATGGTGAACAGTAGCAGGATCAAATGGGAGAATGTATAATTGCCCAGTTGCAGTTACACAAAAAACTCTCATTGGTGTTATTACTTCTCAAATGTCCTGCTTCCCCACATGTTAAAGAGATGCCTAATTCCATTTCTTAAAATTGAGAAAATGATCTTATTAACCAAGTTTCAGTTAGTACTGGGATCAAATGTCATAGTGTATAATTAGGATTATTTACTATGAATAACTTTACTTTGAAAAACTAACTTCTTCTGTCTTTATTCATAAAAGTTTGTCCTTCTTAAAAATTAATTCATGGGTATTTTAAACTGGAGACTAGGGAGTCCCTAAAAGTCCCTAAAAGCCAGATCTACCTCCTGAAAGCTGGGAAAACAGAAGTTTTTTTTATCCAAAATGAAGTAACAAAGTAAAACTAGTATATTAACTACTTTAAAAACATGATGCTTTTTCTGTCTTTCCTTCTACCTCATTGAGTTTAAAGAGTTTTTATTAAAATGTTTAAAATAATTATGAGAGAAATTATTTTAAAATATACTAAAAAGGTCATTAAAAATTTCTCTGCATACATACATAGATGTTTATTCTACTAGCTTAACTACGTAATTTTTTAATATAGGTAACAAAGTTTTTATTTATCATGAGATCTGAAATTAGAATTTATAATTAAAGTGGTCATTAATAATGTGTTAATAATTTTAAATACTGTTTATAGGTTCTAAATTACATATGATTTACATTTTTAAATTACTGTCATCCTTATTTTGTTTTAAAATACAGGAGTTTTTAAGAAGAACTGGCATTAATGTTGCCCTTAAGAATGTCTTTCATCCTTAATTTTCCACGGAATGAAAAATGCAGGAGAGAAAATTGGTTGGATGTCCTTTGTATTTTGCTCTCCACTTAAGGATAACATTATTCTCTTTATCTCTGCAAAATAATCACAAATACATGACTTATAACATAGTTTCTTCTTTTTACAGCCTCAGCGTTTACTTGCCTGGTAACAGCACTGGAATATTATTTAATGCTCAAATTGCTGCAACTATTGGCTTCTTAGGACACTAAACGAGGAGGGATTTACTTTTAATATTATCATTTGCAGCAAAGACTTACTACACAAGATAATGCAAAGTATATAATGGACTAAAAGAGGAAGTGTTTCTGAATGGGAAGACACATTTTGTCTTTATTGTGTGCATGTATGTCTTTATTATATCCAAAAAAGCTGTCATTCAAACCTGATTGATTTATTTGAGATAGAAGGGCATGTTTTCCTTTCCTCTTGATAATTCATAGAAATTGAACCAATTTTCTTGTGTTTGCTTGAACGACTGCATAAATCATATAGGATTTTGTTGGTACAGGCTGCATATTTGAAAACTATTCCCTATTATTGAGTTAACTTTCTTCATAACCAGTGCATAATTACATTTTTCTTTCTTTTCCTTTGAGATGAAGTTTTGCTCTTGTTGCCCAGGCTGGAGTGCAATGTGGCCTCAGCTCAGTGCAACCTCGGTCTCCTGTGTTCAAGTGATTCTACTGCCTCAGCCTCCCAAATAGCTGGGATTACAGGCGCCCAACACCACGCCCAGCTAATTTTTTGCATTTTTTCTAGGGATGGGGTTTCATCATGTTGGCCAGGCTAGTCTCGATCAGCCCACCTCGGCCTCCCAAAGTGCTGGGGGCAAATGTGGCCGGGTGCAGTGGCTCACGCCTGTAATCCCAGCACTTTGGGAGGCTGAGACGGGTGGATCATCTGAGGTCAGGAGTTCAAGACCAGCCTGGACAACATAGTGGAACCCTGTCTCTACTAAAAATACAAAAAAATAGCTGGATGTGGTGGCAGGCACCTGTATTTCCAGCTACCCGGGAGGCTGAGGGAGGAGAATTGCTTGTACCTGGGAGGCAGAGGTTGCACTGAGCCTAGACCGTACCATTGCACGCCAGCCTGGGCAACAAGAGCAAAACTCCATCTCAGGCCAGGCACGGTGGCTCACGCCTGTAATCCCCGCACTTTGGGAGGCCAAGGCGGGCGGATCATGAGTTCAGGAGATCGAGACCAGCCTGGCTAACATGGTGAAACCC